GAGAATTGAGAATCAAAATCCCACCGACCCCGCCAACTCAGTGGAAGTGGGCGCAGGGCTCGGCACGAGGTGGCTAGTTGAAAATGCAAAAAACGAAGTCCCTTTTGAATTTTGCAAATTTTTAAGAAGTCCCCCTTGACTTCACAATGAAATTACGACATCCGCCAAGAGATGTTAGAAGAGAAAATACATGAAAAGGAACGGAACAAAACAAAACAGAAAAGAACGTCAAAAGAGCATCAAACAAACGCTATGACATTTGTATTCTTCGGATTGGCGGCATGGCGTGTCCAGCGAGCAGCTAGCTCTACGCACTTGGAGCAGCGTTGCCGTCGCCATTCAAAATTTTCAAAGGGCTATAACTAAGCGGGGAGGAGGGGGTTTGAGGCGGTTTAGGAGCCAACTTGTAGGGTTTGGGATGTAGATGAGATTTATGTGAAGAAAGTAGAAAAATTATGTGAGAGAGGAAAAATATATGACTTTTTCTTTCCCAAGCCACCTCAGGTGGCTACCCAGGTGGCTTGAAAGCCACCTAACTCCGAAAAAAGTTGAGCACGCCTTCATTTCACATAATTTTTTCATAATTTTTCATACTTGGTCCCAACTTCCCATTGCCCATCTACACACCTATTTTGGTGCCATTTCATCTTCACTTCGCTGTAAACAAACACTTTGTTTATTTGCTGGCGGCATGCCGGCAGCGTGCCGGCGGCAGATCGAAAGACAGCGTTATGCTCTTCCGCAAAAACGATATCCCCTTTGCTTTTTCCCCCAAAAACGATACCCAGCTTGCTTGGTAAGCCACCTGTGCCGTGCCCTGAGTGGGCGGCCTGATTATAGAAAGATCCCACAGCCTGATCTTGCATGCGCAAATATGGAAGGGTTCCAGTGCGATACAGCAGTAAGATCCCCATCAACCCAAGAGCCTAGAAGGTGGAAAGAAACATGGCAAAAACCAGAAAATTGCTTCAGAAATGTGAAAAACCGTCTACCTAGGTGGCTGTGCCCACGTATTCAACCACGTAGACGGGAAAGTGTAGTGCATTAAACTTTTTTAAGAGTAAAGATAGGGTGCACAGCATTTGAGTTGCAAAGAACGTCCGTTTTTCCCCCTTCAAAGTAGCAAAATGCCGTTTTCTTCAAATTTCTACGCTTTAAAACGCATATATGGCTCTTACAAAAACCCGGAAACGAGAAATTCGAACATACATATCTTTTAGCTCTTTATTACTGACATTCATCATTGTTCGCAATTCCGGGCATGTTTCAAGGAAGAAAAAGCCTGATGTCTGGAGCCATTCTAGCTCCATACATCACGCTCCACTACTCCAATGATTTAGAAGTGCTGCTTATGATCGCTTTCCCACTTATTATAAATATCTTTTTACAAAAATATTGCAGTCTCATATGTTAATAAGTTCCGTTTCCCTTGAAATACATTTGATTTCCTTTACCGAAGCTTTCTCTTAGTCATCGTCTGCGACGGTGACGCAAATTAATATCGTCAAGGAAAAAAGATAGTGTCTGTATCAGATAAGGATTAACTGTATTCTAAATATACTCTGTTCCTCGTAGTTGCACTTTGCTACGTGCTGTTTCATCATGACATTAATCGCTAGACTTAAAAGCATCTATTCAATCTTAAAGGGCTTTCCTGAACCACGTAATTAGGCGGAGAATTCAGTGAACGTTCACCTAGTCGTAACCGGAAACGCCAAGTTTTCTGTAACGAGGCTTGAAGAATACGCAAAAAGTACTCAGAAGACCAAAAGATCAGTTTCTCAATATTTTTTTGTTCAAAATTTCTTTGAAACATATTTATACTTGACTGTTTTCAAAAGGAAAAATAATATATATTTCATATGTAAGAAAAATGACGCTTCCTTTCTTTCCCACGAGTTAAAAGCACAATTCGCTTACATCCCAAACTATACTGGGTAAATTTTCGGGCATGAGTATGTGATAAATGGTAGGTGTAAAAACTTCCCTGATCTAACCAAAAGATGGCAAATTAATTTTTCGTTGAGTTAGTTATTCTAGTTTATCCTAACAAAGTGTCTACGAAAATGAGGCAAAAAATAAGGTACTAAGAACAGATTCCATTCAGGACTCGTCAAACGAGGTTTGGAGTCAATACAAGACAAATTCTTCGTAAATCTGCTTTTTCCGTGCAGCAAAAACGCCTGGCTCTACTTGGCCCACTCTCGCGCAATGCCAAGTTTTACACTGTACAGCCGCCTAGATGACCACGTCAAATGGCCCCTTTTTCTATAAAATTGCAATCCTCAGATCAAAACTTCATTCCATGATGTTCACAAATTGACCGTATAACTATACAGCTCATAATTTCCATCTCATAAAAAGCAAGTGTGACTATTGTTGATGATGCCTGTATGTACAATGTGACGAGAATGTTTTTATCTTTTACATTACACAGATTGTCAAATGGTAACACGTACAAGGTCTTTTTCCAACATTATCGTGCATTTTCTCTAGTATTGCTGGCGTTACAAAGTTTTTCCACTTGGTGGGCGGAGCTTACATATCAGCGACTGGTAACTTTTCAGGACTGATTTAAATTGAGCTATAGTTATCATTTCCATCGGGACCACTGTCTCTCACTAGTGCATGCACAATAATTCAAGAAATTATTTTCTGCTTTCATTGATAACATTTTTGTGCTTTATGAACATGTTAAAAGAGTGTTAACAGTATGTAGATGATTGTGGCGTAATCGCTATGTAAAAAATGTAAAAACAGTATTTTGTATTGTATTTTATATGCCACTTGTGATCCCTCTATTCTTGGATCTAGACTCAGCCCAACGACGGGCTCTAAAGTTTGTAGGGGGAAATTTCGTGTGTGGTCGCGCATGGGGATAGGGGAGGGTGGCGGGGAGAGATTGGATTGACTGGGTCCACTAATCAGCGCTAGTTGAGTCTCTTCATTGACTTTACCCATTCTTCACGCTGGAAAAGCTAAATCTCACCGGACATCAAGCTAAGAGGGTCAAGAAATGTTAGTTGATGATAAAAATTTGGGTTCTTACCCTGCCTGTTCGACTACGATTTGGATGGGGTTCGGAATTGTAGTAACTGAGAGCTAATTTCGATTTCAGTACTATAAATAAAGTATGATTCGCGCCTGGCTGAAAACCCGAAGGCCTATAGTTGAGAAAGCTTCTCTTTCTAGTGGAAATCTTGCTGTATCAAATTAGGTTGCCAGCTAAATTTTGCTACTAGTTTCACATTTTTCTTTTGGCGCATCCTTTTTTCGCATGAGTAGATTATGTTGTGAGCCAATGTGTTAACACATTGACGACCGCTTGACGCACCATGACTCTCATTGGAATGGCTACTGATTTTTGTCAAACAACTCTGGAAGTTTTCTTTTATGCTGTATCTAAATACAACCTCTACTTTTTTGCCAGCATTCCAGCACCACTGTAAGTGTAATGTAGATGGGATTGTGCGTGATTTTATCTGAAAATTGTTGGCTGGTCCGAGAAAGGCTTTGGTCATCAATGTGTTAAAGAGCTGAATTTTTCTATGGAGTGAGAAAGAAGTTACGCATTATGCAAATGCTGGTCACCATCAGAATTTTACTGGGTCAAAAACAAAAATGAAGCCGCGCACAAGTCAAGCACATCAAACCGAGATTGTACACCGAAGTTCTTTTTCTTGAACCAAAGACATTTCAAATTTAACCAGCTTTTGACATTCAAAATCTTTCTACCTTCTAACTGAGAATAAAACTTTGTAGACGATCATGGCACACAGTATGAAATATAATGCCAAGAAACGAATGTGCCACATCTAAAAGAAATATTAAAATATCAGTCGTAGAACTTAATTGTCAACCTAACATCTCTAAGCAAGAAAGAGCTGGGCACAAGAGATGCTTTCCGTTTCATTGTCCCAATGTGACGAGATTTTTGGCCAGTTTAGAACGCTAAACTCAGCGAGGGATTTGTCATACTCGAAGTTCCAAAATAGCAGACCCGTATCACTTTCAAAAGTTCACATACGCGTTTATTCCGTTGTGCTCAAAGACCTGCCAGAGAAGTCTGATTCTACGTAATAAGACGGAATCTTTTCTTCTCGAATGAAACTTCAGCAATTTCGATGTGCGAACCTTTAAAAAAATTCAGAGAAGATTGAATGGACTTGGTTCTCTCACCTTTAACAGGTCGTTTTCGACAATTTTGCAAAACTAGTTTGATGTATCACAAAATTGAAATGTCTACAATATCTTATTCGTGTGATCGACATCAGACATCTTGGCAATTAACACTATCGCCACTAAATTTTGAAGTAAATAGTGTTTTTCTAAGTTGTCTTAGGGTGGCAAATTTGCTCTTTGTACTACTGATTGACTATAATCCCGGGCTAATCACTTTTCGTTCAATTGCGAAATCGACTCTCACCACTCGTACTTAATGCGAATATCAATACATAAAAACTCTCTTACTCGTAGCTGTCATATCTATTTTCATTTATACACTTGGAATAGTAAGTCCTCTAACAAAGAAATCATGGTTAATTGAAGTGGCCTTATTAGATGAGATATACACCATACTGAAGGGCATGAGATGCTGATTTTAGATCCGCCTTCTTTTTCTGCAGAACATTTATGGACGAGGAGTTATGAGCGCTTATTGGAGCGCAAAACTGAATGTGCAAGTAGCAAAAATAGCTTTAATACTTTTTCTAGTACTTCAATGGAGCAGCGATAAGCATCAGAGCACTTTATTCAAAAAATACTTTGAAATAAAAATATTGCACACTTGGTTGCATTATTTGAGGGCTAATAAGATTTTAGCAACTTATTTTATCCAAAATGCGCATTCAATTTTTGGCTCCAAAAAACGCTCATAACTCCTCGTCCATAAACGTTCTGCAGATAAGGAAGGCAGGTTTGGAATCAGCGTTTTATGCTCATCAATATGGTATATATCTCATCTGAAAATGCCACTTTGACTAAACAAGCTTTCCTTGCAAGGTCAATCTCCGTTACCGTATGTGTACGAGTAGATAACGTTAGAGTACATCATAGTACTCATAGATACCGTAATCGAAGTTTCTCATTGCGAAAATGATGTCATCGCCGCTGTACATTGCAGCAGATGAACTGGAAGATCCCTTTTGTAACGGGTGAGTTTGATTTTCATTAAGAAGTTTTTTTAAGTAAGTTTAGCATTTTTCTAAGAAAACAATGAAATGAAATAGTGAAAAGCTGTAACAAATTACGTCAACGAGTTCTAGAAAACACATACGCAAAAAAAAATGCTTTGTTCTATTTCACCCCCATTGCATTAGAGACTATAAGTATATTTTTTTAGAAATGATAAAGGCCCATTTTTGCACTTGAAATTATCTAAGTTTTTCACCTATCCATAGATTTAAAAAAGCTGAATAACGCGCTCAAAGGCCTAAAGATTCACTACAGTTTGCTAGGAACCATCTTTTTCGGAAAAGAAACAATGCACTCCTCCTTTTTGAAGATATTCTCTGTTAACCAACTTATCTATCGATAAATCGACAACACTCACATGATTGCAAGAAGACAATGCAGGAACTGGTTTTTCTTCCAACGTCACGAGGCGTTGCGATACGTTTGTGTGAATGGCGAAGATCATTCTCTCATTGACTGAAACCACCATAACGGTCATATTTCTTCTGTTCTGTTTTCCAATTCATTGCTTTTTGAGCAATACCTTCCAACAAGGTCCTGCACTATTTGAAGTCAAAACATAGCGATCAATCACATGTGGTGTGTTTGTTCGCACGTACCGCACTGATTTCGATGACGAATGCTGCTCTTGTCTAGTACATTTTGGACTTTATGTGGACTCTTTAGCTCCTATGTTCAGATTTGCGTTTTAAGTAGACTGTTCACTTCATTTTCATTACATATATTCTCATTTATTTATTACAAAAGAGCATCCAAAAACGAAATCAAAAAATATTACTCGTCTCCCGTCATCAAAATCTTTTTTTTTCAAATTTTTCTATGTCCACGGCTACAAAATACATTCTATAAAAACATATGTTAAAACTATTATCAATTATTAATGATAAAAATATCCCCCCCCCCCCCCCCCATCTCCCTGTCATCAGAACCGTCTGAGTCATAAAATTTTCATTTGTGGGAAATCTTCACCTGTCACATATTTTTTTCCATAATTGCACATGATTCAATTCTCAAAGCGAGAGCGCTATCGTCACAGAGTTTCTTTTTCGTCTAGAAACAAATCATAGTAAAGTATTTAGGCTTAAAAGACCAAGCTGAATGCAGCAAAACCACCTGCCCATCCAGGTCTTGATCACGTGCCATTATAAGCAGATATAAAATCTGATAAAAACATTAATTCCTGAGCCGAGCAGATTTCTTTTTTTGTTGTTGAGAGCTTCTCATTCGTTAATTTCAATATAATCTTCTACACGCTTATCGTTTCTAATAATAAGGTGAAAGTCCTCAACGGCTCATTGAAGGCTCACCTGCCATTTCCACTATCAGTTTGTCATAACCCTTGGATGGCACGACAGTAGAACATGTGTAAATAAATCAGATGTTTTTTTTTGTTTGACCATAAAAAATACAAAGTATGCAGTCAAAGAACGCAGCGCTCACTTTGCTGTCAGTTTTTGAAGGGTGGAGACTGTATACTTTTGGCAAGGTTTCATTCCAAATGCCAAGTACTGCATGAAAAAAAACGGCAAAAAAGTAGATTCCACTGATAATTTTAAATTCTCGCAAGTTATATCTATGCATCTCTATCAGTCAATGATCCCCCCCCCATGGGTACAACCTTGCTACGACCTTGTATCACGTGGGGTCGTAATCTTTTTACGACCATTAAGTTCCACGCCGTCCTACGTCATTAAATTTTCATGTAGATTAAAGCAGCGGTTGCTTGCTTTTTACTATAGTGTTTTCGTTTATGATGGAAAAGCAATCAGCATGCCAAAATGCACTTTTCAATATAAAGCACGTTAAGGCAGAAGTAAAAAGCACTTTCAAAAGCTTGGCTTATTATGTAAATCAAAACTATAATCACAAATGGGGCTAGTCAAATATGAACTCTGGTCATTGTTGTCTTACGGTCATTGTTGTCTTATGGTCAGTCTCCAACAAAGGTCGAGCTCATCGCTTTTTACAAAAAGTACAAAACCGTGCGCAACTGGTTTTTATGCAATACTATGCCCTATCACTCGTGGCAATATCAGTAATTTTTATCGGGATGGAGGGAGGGGAGGGAGGGGGAGGGGGGGGGTGAGATGCGGAGGAAATTTGCTTAAAAGAGGAGCGTAGCATTAAACATTTCTTTCGAAAAGATTTAGGCGTCCAAGATTTTTCGAATCAGCAGTTTGTTGCACAAAACTTAAAGGCAGCGTCCAGGCAAATTTGGACCTATGGGGTTCTCACGTGGAAACTAATTTTGAGGCCCTAAATAAGACTCTGCCTAAGCGGCAGCTCAGATAGTGCACTCACGGCTAAGATATTGGGCTCCAAACTATGCCCCGTGATCGTATTCGCATGGATTCGTGGCGCTTTCGCGCGAGGATCCATGCGAAACCAAATGCCGAGCCATGAATCCATGCGAATACGGTCACGGGGCATAGTTTGGAGCCCAATATCTTAGCCGTGAGTGCACTATCTGAACTGCCGCTTGGGCAGAGTCTTATTTAGGGACTCAAGATCAGGGCTCGGCACGAGGTGGCTAGATGAAAATGCAAAAAACGAAGTCCCCCTTGACTTTTGGGTATTTTTACGAAGTCCCCTTTGACCCCCCACCATAATCCCTAAAAATCCTCAAAAAAACGAAACGTCGACTAAAAAAAACGTCGCCAAATCGCCAATTTGGCGTGTGTCTTCGGTCACAAAAACGAAACCCCCTTTGCTTTTCGTCCCAAAAACGATATCCAGCTTGCTTGTAAGCCACCTCGTGCCGAGCCCTGCTCAAGATTACTTTCCACGTGAGAGCCCTATAGGTCCGGATTTGCCTGGACGCTGCCTCTGAAGGAATGAAAAAACTAAATAATTTGGATACATCACATAAGAGTACAATATAAGTGAAACCAAGCCACTTGCAAAAAAAAGATTCTTGACCCAAGGCTTGGCCTTCTGTCCCCGGTCCACTAGTGATCAATGATTCTTGCAAAAATTATGATGTACTATGTTTTACTTGCAAGTGGCTTACTCTTCCCATTTCAACTCGCGCATGAGATCGAAATTATCTTGGCTAATGAAAAAAATGTTGAAACTAGGAGGACAACATTCTGGCTAAGTTCCTCATCTCCAATTTCGCAAACAAATGTTCACGCTTGTGAGAAATTTCCCTCATTCTATCATCCACATCGATCACTCCCCCTTTTTTCACGCATGTCTTTCTTCCTTGTTGGTGGCACGTGTATGGCATCATACATCGCTATGTCGGCTCGAACTTTTTTGCGAACAGAGCCATTTGCGAAAAAACGCAATTGCATGAGCGTTTCGCATCGAATAGATCAAAGAGTTCAAAATGAAGCAGACGCAGCTGCGTAATATGTTTCTAACAGCAAGGTTATGTAAACATTGGTTCCCGGAAGTATCAAATCTAAATAACACGAATCATCATTTTTTTCGCAATTCCAAACAGGAAAATGGGACAATGAATAAAGGATATGAAGGATAAAGCCAACCGGGGGGGGGGGGGATGAGAGAGGAGAGGAGGAGCGCACCAAAATAGAAATTAAGAATACATGTCTTGTGAAATTGTGTAAACGAATCGTATCCACTGTAAGTAATCAAAATTTTATGAAGATTACAAAAAAAACAGACAACGACATGTTTCTTTGGCGCCAGTCACGCCCTTCTTTGGCGGCATTCACGCCTATTTCAGAATCCAGGATTGTAAGCTTGCTAAAAAATTGACCTAAGAAGTTTTAAAAGGTGTGACTAAGCCAGTTGGGTCCCATTACCTCGAAAAATTTCCCGAGGCTGTTGCCTCCGTAAACTGCACAAACTCTACTACCGACGAGGACTGAAATTGAAGGCGCAGAAAGCTTCAAAGTCACTTGCAGCCGATTATCATATCAGCGCTTTGTTTTTGATTCTTTTTTTCTCTGTTACTAATTTATTGTCCGTGGAGGAAGATGCCTTAATTATTCCAGCAAGCCGGGAATTGAACCTTAATCCCACCGGTTATAGCGGCGCCTCCTACCACTAGGGTGTCGTCTCTCTAACAAGGGAAGGATACCAACATTAGTCGATTGAAGATGAGATGCATATAAATGACGCGCCTTTGAAAACTGATTCCAAATCTGCTTTCGATTTTTGCGGAACAAGTGTTCGAAAGAAGTTATGAGCGTTTGTATGTCCAAATTTGCCAAGGTTTAGGTGGCCTATTGGCGAAAAGCTATACAAAAACTCCGCAAGTGGAACAGTTTTGCATCAAGTATATTGTTTGCAAGGAAGGAACAAAGCCGGTGGAAATCGCCTAGATATTGTTTTAGACTTTTTTCGTTAATTTTAAGCCATTCAATGGCAAATATGGACATTCAAGCGCTCATAGCTTCTTTCGGAAACCTATTCCGCACGAAAGGAAAGCAGATTTGAATCAGCGTTCAAAGACGCCTTTAATGATATACATCCCATCTTCAATCGCCGACTAATGCAGGGCTCAAGGTGGCTAACTGAAAACGCAAAAAACTAAGTCCCTTGACTTTCGCGAATTTTTACGAAGTCCCCTTTGACCATAGACCATAAACTCTAAAAAATATCCGAAAAACGAAACGTCGACCAAGAAACAAAAGTCGCAAATTTTGTGTCTTTTTGCCCACAAAAACGAAACCCCCTTTGCTTTTTGCCCCAAAAACGATATCCAGCTTGCTTTATAAGCCACCTGTGCCGCGCCCTGGACTAATGATAGTATCCTTCCCTTATAAGAATAAAAAACTAGAAGTGCGTAATCGGTCTTGAATGTGGCCAATAGCTCGCAAGCAAGGTCTCGCTCTTCGGTCTGGTAAAGCGTTGCGGTTAAGTGTTCTAAAGAACATTTAGGCAGATTTAACACGTTGACGAAAGCGTGCATTTTTAGCTGTCTGCCTTGTGGGATAGTCCCATTTACAGTAAGTTTTTTTTAGCTGAAATTAAAGAGGCCGTCTTCTGC